GTACTCCAAGCTAGTGTTGTGCTTTTACACATCGACATTTGTAGCAGTGCCCACACAGCATATATACTGTGTACAGTTAAACAACGCCAGTGTTTTCTTGTTAGTACCATGTGCCTCTGAAGATGGTTTTACTAAAACCGAAACATGTAAGGCAAGAGTGAGAAAGAAGTGACCTAAAAAACATTGTTACCCTCGACGGACTTTGTATTGATTTTATGTATAATAGTGTAATGGACCAAAATGAAACAATTCAAAATACAGAGAATTCTTTAAAAAAAAATCCAGGATATGAACAATTTTGTGAAATTGAAGAAATTTTAGCCGGTAAACGTACCGAACTGCCAAGTAAAAAATCACTAACAGTGGAGCCAATAGCGGCTTTTGTACATGCGCCCTTAAGTTCCCGAGAGGTGGAAAGAAGTTTTTTCCCTGCTATAAGGACATCTTACGAGACAATAAGAGGCGATTAACTGTGGAAAACCTAAAACATTTAGTAATTCTGAACTGCAACAGACGAGAAGTTGAAAGTTCAGAGAGCTAAATGTGAGTACCATTGGTTTCTTAAATTTGTTATGAAATATGTTGGCTTTGTTGCATGATTTGTATTTAAGTATAGCTTTTTATTGCAAGTGAATCATTCAATGATTACATAAAATGAATTTAAATATTGATTTGTTGGTCTTAAAATAATGTAAAATCAATTTTAATATTTGGTATAATTTTTATGTGCATATTTTAGTGCATATTTCGGAAGTTTTTCCTGCATAAATGCATACATATTTAAGGGATTATTAGGGCATAAAATCCGGTCACTAGTAATAACACAACATCCCTGTATAAGATAATCGCCCCAGTCAAATGCTGCATTAACTAAAGGATATAAGAACAACTATTTGTATATATTTTCAGAATTTTTCAACCAGATAACACATCAATAAGCTTGTGGATTCTAAATGCGGTTAAACAATAACAAATTAAGTTATCCACCCACAGTGGAACCGTCACCATTTTCTATAAAATCATGATATCCGTGCCCATTAGCCCTGATAACAAGGCTAACTAAGAAAGAAAACATAACATAAAGCAGATACTTGTTGTACAGTATAAAACCTCGGAGTTACATATACACAGGGTCGCGCCCGGGTTAGTCGCTGGCTTCCCACTGTGGCGGCCCGGGTTCGATCCCGGGTCTGGTCAAGTGGGATTTGTTGTGGACAAAGTGGCGCTGGGGCAGGTTTTCTCTGAGTACTTCGGTTTCCCCATGCCAATCTTCATTCCACCAATTGCTCCACAATCACCCTCACCTATCATCTGGGGCTTGTATAATAGGCCAGAAGTGGCCGCAGTACAAGGGACTTAGACCCACCCCACTAGCAATAAAAAAATACATATCACACCTGCATAGATGTAGATTTTTACTTTGATCTTTCTATCTTGTATTTATAATTCCCCACCTTTAGTATAGTTTGTTCTGTGTATATCTGAAGACCAAGACGTAGCTGAGTGGATAATATTAAAATTGATCTTAGACAGAATGGGATGGTATGGATTGGATTGATCTGGGTCAGGATATGAACCAGTGGAGGGCTCTTGTGAACACGGTAATGAACCTTCGGGTTCCATAAAACGCTAGGAAGTTCTTGAGTAGCTGCAGATTTGACGGCTTCAGTACAGAATAATAATTAATTAAAAGTTTGTATTAAGACTCTTTATTTGCAGCTTGTAAAGTTACAATGAGACCTCAAGAATTGTGATTTTTGCTGCACATTGAATGTTGAAAATGTGATCTAGTAGTTTCTGACAGCGACTTTACATATAACGTCACTATCTGATAATGACACACCCTGAAAGATGTTTTGGTGGACAGTACCTACAAATCGTCACACCATTAGTAATCGTAACACACATAATAACATAATGGGGCACGTGGTAGCGTAGTTGCTTGAGGCACTATGCTACAAGCCTGAAGGTTGTGGGTTCGATTCTAGATGAGGTTATTGGATTTTAATTGACCTAATTTTTCCAGCCACACTATAGCCCTGGGATCCACTCAGCCTGTAACAGAAATGAGTACAAGAAATCTTCCTGGGGGGTAAAGGGTGGCTGGCGCTTAAGTCTGACAACCTTATCGCCATCTGGGAGCCGATTGTCTAAGAAAATATGGGAGCTTCGATGTCTCACTACACTGTAGGCTTTCTCGACCTGTTATAGGGATAGATTTACCATATAGTTGTAATGACATAAATAATTCAGTTACTCGACTAGCATGAAGAAAAAAAACATTCCGAAATGAGTGTTCCCAAGCTCGAAGTACAGATGACATACAGTCCAGTACAGTTTTATTCTGTGGAGGGAGGGGGCATATTAACTTATTTTTCGACTTTTGTGACATTTCATGGTACAGAACAAAGAAGTTCTGAGACCAGCACGTATGTTACAGAATAATGTTTTTGTTTTATGCCTGGTACCACGCAAATATTATGTTTCTGGACATTCTCCATTGTCCTGTTAATAGTACCAATGGAATGCTCTATTGAATACTTAATTAAACTTCGGGTTCCATAAAGTTTTGGAAAATTCATGAGTATCTGCACAACTGATGGTTTCTCAAGTAGGGCTCAGCTGCATGGATTTAGCTAGTTAGTTAGGTATGTAGGTAGTTATTTAGTTGAGTGTAGTATCGGGTAAAATTATAGTTATATGTGGTCTGTGTAGATCTTCATATGTGTGGAGAGAAGATGGGAAGGGAAAAGAAAGGTTCTGGATACAATGCTGAGAGGCATTCCCTGGTTTTGATATGCTCTTAATTTCCTTGCAAATGTAATTCTGGTGTGTAACTTGAACTTTATGATATTTCTGAAGTATCTGTTAATTATATTTGTATTACGATTCTGTCCTGCATTATTTATGCTGAGCAGAATATAAGACAGACACACAGTTTCATTTCCCAAATTATATATGCATGTTAGGCAAAACATTTATCACTACTTTATTATGGCACATAATGGGATATTTGGATCAATGGAGTATTGCTGAGAAAGGGAGCAACATCACTTTTCCCATGTGTTTCACTTCAGGATCCAAAAGCTTTGGTGCTCTTTGCTTTGGAAGTAGAAGACATGGTCGTGACCATTGTGACCACACTGACATTAGTATCCCCTTAAAGGACGTGAAACCATGAATTTTAATGCAGACAATTTGATTTAAAAATTAACATGATCCTGGACTAATTGTGAAGTAGGCTGCGTCATAGCTCAAGCGGTTAATCGCTGGCTTCCCACTGCGGTGGCCCGGGTTCAATCCTGCGTCTGGTCAAGTGGGATTTGTCGTGGACAAAGTGGTGCTGGGGTGGGTTTTCTCCGAGTACTTCGGTTCCCCTGCCAATCTTCATTCCACCAAATTCTCCATCATCATAATCACCCAGGGCAGGTACAATAGGCCAATCAGTGGCCGCCATGCCAAGTGGACCCAACTGGACTCCACCCCCTGCTAAGCGAATTAAAAGAGAGAGAGAGAGAGAAAAAAAAGTGAAGTAAGCAACAGGTTGGCAAACTGGCAACGTTTTAGATGGGTATGTAAGAGGTGTGCAGTTTGAGTCGCAGCTGGGACACCGCCTATTTAGATGCGTGGTTTACATGATTTTCCTCAGTATGTAGATCACAAACACTGCCTTCAAAATCATGGGTCCTTGATCACTCATGTAATATACTTTCAACATTACTGAGAACATCGTAAAATATCACCCCTCACTTCAAAATTTGGAGTATTGTGCCTGAGGTCTCATATGAATGCATCTTTGAAGTTCCTTAGATTTTGGGATATAGATATGCCAGAATATGGCATAACATTCTTTATTGTCTCAACATTTTACAAAACAAAATACATGATAAAAACAATGTACTCTTGTACTATATCACTGGATGTTTACATGGGTGCCAACATATGTAGATCTTGAGAATGATAATACTGTGTCATTAATTCTGATTCTTATCACATTAGGATACTTGACATAAGAGCGTCAGTTCTTTACTAATTGCTCTTATGTTTGATACACATGTTTGGGTTTGGCATTCTTATTAAAAAGATAATTTTATCACATGAACAAGAAAAAATATAAACCAAGAATAAATTTGCCATCATAACAGATTGTCCTCTGATGCAGCAGTCAGCTTTATGCTTGTCTGCTGCAAATGAATATTTTCCTCACCTATACAAGAAACGTATTTTGATGACACAGGATATGTACATCTACTGCATTCAGATTGAATCAGAAGTATAATTCTCCTCATTAATCAACGTCAAACTTCGTGGTTGGTACCCCGGAAAGTTATACAAATGTCTGGTCCCCGTGCAAAAAAGACTTGGAAATTGCACAGTTTAATTTTTCATGTTCTTTTAATATAAATGAACAATGATCAGTTCCATATCTGTCATATGTACAAATTTATTCTAAATCAGTCTGAAATTAAAATAAAAACCCAGAGACCAGTTTTCAATGGGTATACTGAATATTATGTCCTTTATAAAGATTCTCTGTTACCCCTGGGGGCACTGATACCTCAGTTTCAGAAAGGCTGTTTTAAATGTTATTTGTACATTCAATTTCACTATTAGTGAAATATTTTAGATTTTTCTACTCCTTCCACCCCACATATGAAGATGAAAGTATGTAGTATTCAGTAACATCCAGAATGTTACTGGAGCACTTTTCAACACTGAATTTTTAAAACTGGAGATATGGAATGTGTAATGTTAACTATTTCCAGTTACTTCAAAATATTCTCAGTAGTATGGTGTAAAACTTTCCATATCATATCGACTGCTGAAGCTAGTTGTAGTATAATTATATCATGTTAGGTTTGCACCAATGCAGGTAATTTCTTACACTCATTGCTGAATATTATGTTGTATTTATTCCATGATGTAATGCCTTAATTTTCATTATTTGGTTGACCTTGCTACTTTAAGTGATTCCCCTCCTTTGCCGAAATGATGGTCACTTACAGGGTCCAGTCCCTCATATTCCGTGTTACCGTCATCATAATATGCATAATCATAGGATACATCTGAGGTTTTGGATCCAGATTTAGATCCAGTTGTTACAGTTTTTTTCGTGTCATCATTGGCAGCAGCATTGTCGTATTCAGATGTTCTCACAGTTGTTGAACTCACAGAATAAACATTATAGTTGTTTCTCTGTTGCTGGTATTTCGTTGTACTTACAGGCTCTCTGCCTGAAGATGGTGTGATTGTCTGTTTTGGATAGTTTTGAGACGCTGTTGTTTGTGGCCGTCTCGTTGTTGGATATGTTTCTGCAGCCCTAAATGACCCAGATGGAACAACTGTAGTTTGTGAATAATACTTGCTGCTACCAGCTGAGGACTGTTTGTCTGAAGAATATGTGTCTGAGCTGGTAAAGGATGTAGATTTTGGAGTGGTGTTGATGTTGTAGTAGTTACTGTTGTAATTCTGTGAGGATCTGTTGTCTGAAGCAGTGGCTGATGTGTAGTTGTAGTTATTTGTCACAGATGTTGTGCTCTTGCTGTTGGTATTATAGTTGTTTTGGAATGTATTGAAACTGCTAGGTCTGTAGTTATTGCTTGGTGCTGTTTTCAAAAATTCATCAGTTTTTTCATCAGCCGTATCGAACTCATCTGCATTTGCTTTGTTATGGCCATAGTTCTGGTTAGTTCGCTGGTAATTGTAGTTGTTATATTCATCATCATTTGAACTTTGATAATTGTTATATGCCTGTGCACTTGAAGCTGGGGCCAATGTTGTAGATATGAAACCTACAGTAGATTTTGTGTTTGAGTAATCTGTGCTTCTCTGGTTGTAGCTGTTACCAAATCTTTTGTGATTGTTGTCACTGTTATATGAATCATAGGTAGAAGGTGAAGAAGTTGTAGTATAATAATTATTAACAGTACTCTTTTTATAATCATTTGTTGTCTGAGACCTTTGGCCATTAGTATTATAGTTGGCAAAATTATAATTATTATTTAAGTTTACTGGAGTGTTGGCTGTTGTTGGGTAATTATCAGTATTGGCTCCACTACTTTTAGTGTTGTATCTTTGTGTGTTTGTACTTCTTGGTTGTGACTGATAATTGTTGTAGTAATTTTCTGCTGTTGTTTCAATTGTTGAGTATTGTATGGGCTTCGGTGTTGTTGATTTCTGTGCAGAGAATGTACTATAGTAGTTGGCAGCATTGTAGTTATTTCCTTGGTTATTAGCATTGCTTTCTGATTGTTGCTGGTAGTTGTAATTATTGGTAGCTGCGCTGTTTGTAGCTAATGGTTGTGAGGTTGTACTACTCTGGGCATTATTTCGCTGAATTGTGTTATAACGTGGTTGATAGTAACTGTTTCCTGTCCTTGGAGTTCTGTCATTGTTCACAGCACTGGTACTTCTTTCCGTTGTTGGAGCTTTGTAATTACTCGTAGTGAATGGACCTGGACTCTGGTAGTTGCCTGTGTTGTAATTTTGTTGCTGCTGATTTCCAAAACTGTTACGCTGGTTATTGTTGTAGTTGTAATTATCATAATTGTTTGAACCACGATTGTTTTGGCTAAAAGTTGAAGATGAAACTGTTGTAGGTCTTGGGGTTGGGTAATTATCTCCGTCTTGTGCAAAGCCGTTGTTGTTTGGACGCTTGACAAGCTTCCTTACAGCTACTTTCTTCTTGTTCCCATTAGATGGACGTCTGTAGGTGTTTCCATTGAACGAATTATTCTCCTTGTGATCCCTGTAAGTCTCATCTTCGTCTTCATCCTCTTTGCCCTTGCTGGGGTTGAAGAAATTGCTACTACTGCTCCCTCTGTTTAAATAGAGACAATTATATTTGGTTACAAAATCATAAATGATTTTTTAAATTAAGAGGTCATTTTATGAGTATCTTCTTTTGTAGCCTTCTTTATATATGAGGGAGAGTCAGTATATAGGTCAAAAATGGAAATAAAACAATTGTAATGGAAATAATAGGTTTTCACGTTCATTGCTAGGTAGCAGCACAGTCCAGCTTCATGAGAGTCTCGGTAGTAGACGAGATGCGCATGCTCATAGGCTGGTTTCAGTAATGAAATTGGCGACTGTGTTTGAGGAGTATATTACCGAAGAATGGCGTTCTCTTTCACGAATTTTGTGGACAAAAGGACTCAATGCAAAGGATATTCTTAAAGAAATGCTTCCTGTTTGCGGTGGGAAGTGTTTGACATGAAAAGCGGTTCCACCTTTGTGGCAAACATTTGAGAGGTTGAAACACAGGTGCGGAAGTTGCTCAGACAACAGTCAAAAGACTTCTATGCAAGGGGTTTCGATGAACTGGTAGTGTAATGGGACGAGTTTATCAATGTTGATGAAGGATATATCAAGAAATGTTCAAATATCACTTGTTTTACTTTTTATATCCATTTGTGACCTATTCACTGACCCTCCTTCACAGAATATTGCTCTTGCAAACACAAATAAAATGTACTAACAGCAACTTAAGTCCCTACTCCAAATTAATATTATAACCTTTTTATTTCTATAATTTCTAAATAAAAGACAGACCAAGTTTATGAAAGCAGTAACCACAATGGAATGGAAGCATTCAGAAACATGCACATGATAAAACAACGAAAAAATTGAAACGTGTCAAATATCGAATAAAGGGATTTTGAAAGTATATTATTTTGTTATGTAATAAAAAATCACTGACAAGATTTTGATCTTAATTTACATCCCCATTATGAGAATTGCGCCGTGATACATAATCTCGCATACACAATGGACAGATAATTTCTTCCAAGGGTAAAGACTGTGAAGATGACCATTCCATGATGTGCAGGATCCTCAGTGCTCCATAAATTTGCATATTGTGCTGAACCTTTCACTTAGCTAAACCTATTTCTTCATCAGACATCAGTACCTCAGTAAGTCTTTTTGCTGTAGTCGACTGTCACCGGTCTCACTCCTCTGTAGGAAGTAGTCCTCTTCTTCGTCTGATGGACGGTTCTTGTAGCGGGGACGGGGTTTGGACGCTGCAGGAGCCTTGACAGGGGGCCTTATGCTTGAAGGTCCCAAAGGAATTGGAGTGGCATTACTGGTACCCAAACTTGGACTGCTGGGATTATAGCCTTCAAGGATAACGCAAACACAAATTAATATTTTGTTCTTAAGGCTTTGATATTAACCATTGTATCTGTATCTCCATTTTTGCTCCAAATTTGATAACTATTTCAGGACACTCTATCTCTGTGAACGTGGTAAAACAGAGAGGCCATAAGATATTCCCATCACTGAAGCTAGAACAAATTTAAACTAATAGTGACAGTTGCATTTCAACTTCAGAAGAAAAATTAACAAGTATCTGCAACATAAAATATGATACTGAACTGATATATACTATCTTTACAATCTATAATGTTATGACCACCACCAACAACAGTGACTACAGTAATAATAATTACTGTATAATAAAAATAATAATAAATGGACAAACTTTAAGAAGCAGTAACAATTATTACTGTTATTATAATTATGATATTACCACCACCACTACTACTACTACTATGACTACCATTACTATTAATATTTACAAATTAGTAGTAATACTTTAACTTTTGTCTCATGAAATTTGGAAAAATGATATATTATTAAAATAATTGTAACTTGTAATGATCAGGTATGCACAACACAACTATGAATGACAGGGATATTAATACATTATACATTATAAGAAACCTATATAATCTAATGCACTTCTAATTTTGTTTCTTGTGCCTAACACAAAATCTCCTAATCTTCTGAGAGAGACAGAGATTAAATATCATCAGTATGGAGCAAGGCTGTAGCGTAGTTGGTTGAGGCACTATGCTACAAGCTGGAAGGTTGCAGGTTCGATTCCTGATGTCATTTGATTCTTTTAATTGACCTAACCCTTCAAGCTCCACTGTGACCTGGGGTCAACCCAGCATCTTAACAGAAATTTTCCTTTGGGTTAAGGGGCAGCCAGCACATAAGGCTGACAACCTCACCACCATCTGTGAGCTGATTGTCCAGAAAATGTGGGAGCCTCAACGTCTCAGAACCCTACAGGCCTCCATGACCTGTTACACTGATAGCTTTATGTTTTATCATATCATTAATACAGGTATGCACTTCTGATATAAGGAAACTGTTTTTGTCTATTTACATTGGTCCTTATATTTAAAAAAAGACTAATGGGTAACATGATATCCTGGCTGGAACCTAATTTGCTATAGTTATGCTTACTGAATAACTGGATTTCTCAGCTAGAAGTCAACCTTCTGCCACAAAGGAACTGAATTTCATGTCTGGAAGCTAACCTTCTGCTTATTGAGTAATCGAGCTCAGCGGGAACCTACTGTTCTATAGTCATCTGTTTGAATTAATGTAGCATAGTGCAATTAACATTACCAATTGGGACCTTGTTTTGTGTAGTATAGCATAATTATGCTTGGAAACTAGGAGAAAACATGCTGTATATATGCTGCTTACCAATGCGGTACAGGTCAAAGTTATCACTGTAATACAGTGCTGCTGCTTCACAGTCAATGTCGAACCAGTTAGCACAGATCTGGTTCTCTTGGTCAAAAGATGTGTCGTTTGGACACAGGAACCGGTAATCTTGCACCTGTAACAATAATGTAACTTTTATATCAAATATGTATTAGCCTATATATACATATTTTGCTGACATTAGCACTATAAGTATCTGACAGACTGTTGAGACATTCAGATTTAGTCTTGATAATTAGTATATTTTTACAATTATTGACTTTCTGGACATTATTCATCGTCCTGTATTTTTATTTAAAAACAGGACGGTTGATAATGTCCAAAAGGTCAACATGTAATTTTATTAATACACAATCATCACAACCCTTTAGATCTTAAGCATATTTTGTGTATGGCTGCGTGGCAAAAATAATTCTCCTTCCTCGAATTATAGACAAATATAGTGTTCTGTTAGTTATACCAAACTACAGCTCTATTTGTCATGGCCAGAATTCTTTTTCTGATTTTATTGTAAACAGAGATTCCATGTTTATGTTATACCTGACTAATAAATATGCCAATAAGAGGGTTTTATTGAAATTTATCAACTTAGAAATTCCTTTCTTTCTTATTCACTTAATAGGAAGTGTCAATCCTTACCCCCAGACCTGGCACCTTCACGCAGACATGGAACATCTGGCAGTCTGTCTCGTGGTCTGCATAGTAGCCCCCAAGAATCTTGTCCTGGCAATTGAAGTTTGTCTCTGGCATGTCATCCAGACTGTAGTTCGGAGGACGTTTCTGTGCGACCACGCAAACCACAAGAAATCCTGCAAGTAGTTCTTATTTCAAGCAACAATGAATATGGGGCCTACATGAAAATTTAGTTGGTTTGTGGGGCCAACAACATCTTACCTAAAATAAAAACAAGGGACTTCATGATGGTGGTTGACCTCCCCATCCTGTTGTTATTTAATATTCTTTTTCTACCTGTAATAAAAAAAAAACAAATTATACAAAAGTTTTAATATTTATATTAATTTTGTTGTTTTGAATACAGAGAAATATTGGAGCCTTTGCATCTGATTTATGTCAATGCACAAAATATTTTAAAATATTCAGTTTCATCAGAATTAAAGAAGATTATTAAGACTAAAGATTTAAAGAACTGTTATAATTGTGTACCTACATAAATTCTTTCCCTGTTGAAGAATTTTGTCTTCTGGGCTATAACGCCATGTAGTCCGGTGGAAACCAACTGACATTTTGGAGGAACATCCCGCCGCCATCTTTGGGGTTGAAGAAGAAGCCAAACAAGAAATCAGCATGAAGCAGCCATCAGGGGATTATTAACCATTAAGATGGAGGCGATATGCTCCTCTGAAATGTTGGTCAAATTTTACCGGACTGCACGGCTTTATATTCATGACCACCGTTGTGAGAACTTCAAATATTACTTTCTCTGTCTTTTTTACTGCTGTGAGATTCAATTATTTAGACAGAAAATTTAGCATAAAAACAGATATATCGGAAAATAAATATTCTGGTCTTACTTACTTACTTACTTACGGAGCTAAGCCCATCTTGAGGAGAAGCCAAATCTGTAGCTACTCAAGAATTTCCCAGCATTTTATGGAACCTGAAGGTTCATTACCATGTTCACAAGAGCCCTCCACTGGTCCCTATCCTGATCCAGATCAATCCAATCCATACCATCCCATCCTATCAATCCTATCTCCATCCACCTATGCCTTGGTCTTCCCAGTGGGCTCTTTCATTCTGGCTTTCCAACCAATATTCTATATGCATTTCTTTTCTTCCCCATTCGTTCTACATGCCCTACCCAACTCATCTTCCTTGACTTGATCATTCTAATTATAGTTGGAGAAGAGTACAAGTTATGTATGAAGCTCCTCATTATGCAGTTTTCTCCAGCCTCCTGTCACTTCATCTCTCTTCGGTCCAAATATTCTCCTCAACACCCTGTTCTCAAACACCCTCAATCTATGTTCCTCCCATAAAGTAAGAGACCAATTTTCATGCCCATACAGAACCACGGGCAAAATTATAGTTTTGTATAGTCTAATTTTTATATTCTGGTCTAGGATGAATAAGCAGAGAATAGAGAAAATTAAGCAATGTGGAACGTCATGAATTATAAAACGACTTTATGAAACAGGTTCAAATTTCGACGGAGAATATTTACAGCAGAGTGTATAAGAAATACATAATCTCAGTAGCTTGGAAAATTTTATAATGACAGGTCTATATTAAAATACGAAGGTTGATGAAATAACAGTATGATACTGCTCTCTAGAGGAAACATTTTCGACAAACTTTGCTTATAAGGGGAAAAACTTCGTCAGAATACATAACCTCTGTGTTTCTTCGAACTGGCGACACAGCCGAACCTTATTACGATTTGTCTCAAATGCAACAATGGGGCGGAGCGTTCGACTCCTAGCCACAGTTTCCGCAGTAAACCATCCATCCACTGTTACACACGTCAGGTAACGATTTTACTGAATATATATGCCTACACGCTCTCAAATGCAAACTTGTTTTTGGCAAAGGGTGAGACTTGCAATGCCGACTGAACAATAGGTACCCCTCGCTGAAGTGCTAAATTTTTTTTACGGCAAAAATCGGGACTGCAATGCCGACTGAAGCGTAGCTGTCTCTCACTGCCAGATTAATGTCCTTCCTGTAAGTGCTACTACTACAGATTTGTGTTGTGATTGTAGGGCATTCAAGCAAACTCAGAGCTTTTGTATGCACTGTATAGATCCAAGTACTGATAGAGTGTATGTGGAACATTAAAAATGCTGGATTGACAGATGAAAGAGAAATAGATCCTTTGGTGGAATGAGAATTGGTAGGGTAAAGACTATGAGGACGAAATGCTCCATTGCCACTTTGTTCACCCAGAACTGGTTATAGCTGTAGCTGTAACTTGGAAACTAATTCAGAAATCGCAATTTGACGATCTTTACGCGTTGCGTCCTTTTATGTGTCGTCCACAAGAGTACACTCGTATTTCTGTCTGTCAGCACAACAATTCAGGTGAAAGAAATAAATAATGTTGATCACATGTTTCGATCCCTATTGGGTCATCATCAGGTATATCTCTGCGTACTTAGATGCCGAATTTTTGTTCAGTATGGATCCGTAATTTGTCTTTATATTTAACTATATATGATTGTTTTAGTAGTGAATCTCTGGTTTGTTTACTCTTCGGATTTGAGCCGTATTGGTATAAAATTAAATTAAATAAATTGAAGTTTCTTGAAAATCAATTAAAATTAGTTAAGATGAAATTGGGATTTGAACCCACGATCCCAGTGTTCGAGAGGTCGAAGACCGTTCACGCCTTAGGCCGCGCGGGCACTGTGATCGGCCTTGAAGCCTGACGCAGTTTAATATCGGATAATTTGACTTCAGTTAAGTCGGTGATAGTATGAAGTGATTAGGTGATACGAAGTTCTTTCTTCACGCTGAAAGCTGGTATCAAGGTGGTATGCAACGTGCAACACCACTCGCAGAAGGGAATATGACGTATGAAAAGAAGAGACCTTGAAGGCAGAATATTCAGTGGTTTCGGCAGTCCCTAAGATGTCATCTAGAATATTCATTTCTTTGGAATCTGCTCCGCATAGAAACCATTGTGAAGTCATTTTGGATTTGAGGTTCCGGAAACGGTAAAAAAAGTAAAGTAAGTAAAGCTATCCCTGTAACAGGCCGTGAAGGCCCATAGGGGTGTGAGACGTTGAGAGTCCCACATTATCTAGACAATCAGCTCAAAGATGGCGGTAAGGTTGTCAGCCTTACGCGCCGGCCGCGCTTTACTCCCCAGGAAAATTATTTAATTAATTCCTGGTACTCATTTCTATTAGATGCTGAGTGGATCCCAGGGCCATAGTGCGGCTGGAAGGATTAGGTCAATTGAAAGAAATCCAATGACCTCATCGGGACTTGAACCCGCGACCTTCCGGCTTGTAGCATAGTGCCTCAACCAACTACGCTACCGCGTGTACCTTCAGGAATGTGCTGCTATGTGTTCCGGTAGAAATTCACCGACATTACGGAGGAATATACTCTCGCCATCATCAGTAAAGTTATGCTTGTTGCCTGCTTCTTGCTGGTTAATTGCTAGGCGCACTATTCAACACTGAAAATGGAGGTAGTCTATTACTCAGAAAGTGGATGAACTTCTATCGGACAAAACAGCCTCAGATCCCAGAATATAATGGTGATCATATTTGAACTTAATTATTATTATTATTATTATTATTATTATTATTATCATTATTATTTTAACTGCAAATGGGTTTTTGCCCGGTGGCAGTGGTACTACAATAAGACAACACATGAATAACACACATCACACAAAAAACACACCACACTCAAACAAAACACAGCACACAAAGCTAAACAAACAATGAGGTACACTACACACAACGAATAAAATGCAAATACAATTACAACTACAATTATATAAATTAATATTAATAAAAATAATCGTACTATACACTAAAGAGTAACAAAAATGAAATAAATAGTATCATGAAGTGATGCTCTCACATTTCACCATGACCGTCCCTTCATTCCACTTCAATGATCTCATTTACCCTTCACCTCAAATTCACTTCACTTCACTTCACTTCATTTCACTTCACTTCACTTCACTTCACTTCACTTCACTGCATTTTTTGATGATCCCTCACCCCCAAATAGAAAATGGTCTGTCCTAATGAAAAAAACAATTTTGAACGCAGTGAGTATAAACGTTTATGGTGTTGTATGCAGCCTTATGTCACGATAAATAAAAGTTTATCTGGGACAGGTCTCAAAGACATTAACAATTTATATGACATGTCAAGAAATGTCGAAGACACTGAACATTCTTTCATTTGAGTGCCTATCACACAATAAATACCACCTTGATATGAAACAAGTCCATAGCCAAAGAAATTTCAAATAAAATAATAAATTTAATTATGTATTTTATTTATCGCATAATTGTAATAAATTACGATTCTAGGGACGCATTCATATAACTGGTGTACTAACATGATCCCTCATAACGCTGTCTTTCCCAGAAATAAATACAATACACATACAACGCACTTTGATGGCTACTTAAACTTAGGCGTTAACGCAAGCGTCTATGTATACAGATGCCGAAAGCAGAATGCGCTTTGTTCTGATGCGCACAGGAATTTACTTCTGACTTTTTGATCCACTTTCAGTGAAGAGTGCTTGATAAGGAATTTTGGCTGCACAAGGTTTTGTACAACATAACTTCTACAATAATATTTAAATCATACATGGAAGCCAGGATAGCTCAGTCGGTATAGCGACAGATTACGGGCTGGAAAGATGGGGTTCGATTCCCGGAACAGGAAACCGATTTGTCTCTACCCCACAGCGTCCAGACCGGCTCTGGTCTTCACCCAGCCTGTTATCCAATGAGTACCGAGGACTAGTTCCCACAAGTTAAAGCGGCCGATGCGTGAAGCTGACCACTCACTTCCATCTAGTGCCGTGGTCAAGAATTATGGAGATATAGCTCTGCTCTCAGAGAGTACCGGTGTTGTCAACATGGTATGGCCATCAGCACGCGGTAGCGTAGGTGGTTGAAGCACTATGCTACAAGCCGGAAGGGCGCGGGTCCGAGTCCCGGTGAGGTAGATTTTTTCAATTGACCTAATTCTTCCACCCGCACTAGGCCTTTGGGTCGACTGAACCTCTTAACAGAAATGAGTACCAGGAATCTTCCTGGGGCGGGGGGGGGGGGCTGACAACCTTACCGGCATCTGTTAGCCGACTGTCTGAAGAAAATGTGGGAGCCTCGACGTCTCACAACCCTATGGGCCTTCACGGCCTGTTACAGGGATAGCTTTAACTTCTTACCTTTTATTTCTACTCTCACACACGTCTTCATGGCGTTGGTGCTTAATTAATTACCGTTACCGTTAACGTGCATAGAAGGCTTCTTTAGAAATGACAACTGGTAGAGTTCTGAGTTCTCACTCTTCTTGCATAACCGCTTTCTTACAGCCACGACGCACAACGGGGAATAAGATGCGGGATTGCATAAGAAGACAGGCGCTATAGCACAGAAGGAAAGTTCCGACGATATATTTACTCTTGCTAAGAATTCAAGTGGACATGCTACTGGCTCAGTCAATTCAAAGTAGACGAATAAGCATAACAGCAAGACTGAAATATCAGAGCCAAGCCCAAGCAGTGTACAGAAAAGGAACAGTTCAAGAGGCCAGACAGTGTTAGAGCAATCTACAGACGAGTTGGAGCCCATTCAGAAGCAGGACGAAGGCAGGAACGCACCGGTAACGATCACCAACTTAGTCATAAACTCCGCGGACGCTAAAGAATGCCCAGACACCTGTGGGAAGCCGTCGAGGTTCACGTGCAACGTGACAACAAAATTCAACGAGAATCAGCCAATTAAGATAGTTCAGTGGAACGGTAGAAGCCCAAGAAGCTACGATGTGCTACAGAGGGCCGGATGGGCACTGCCTAGGTCATATATATACATTCAAAATAAATTAATAAGCAGCGCACTATATTTGACCACATTTTGATCGTGAAGCGACCACTTCAACTAAAAAAAACTCATACTTAATCCGTTTCTCTGATACCTTAAGGTATCGAGGTTGTTTTTTTTATTATTTTGATCATCTTACAGACGGTAGGACACTTTGGACGTGAGATCAGCCCGTCGCAAGGCCTCTACCTAAACACTGGACAACACAAACACAGAATAAACACATTCGCATACCAAACATCTATGCTTTTTATGGGATTCGAACCCACGATCCCGGTTTCCGATCGAGCGAAACCAGTATATGCCATAGCTTGGCTGCCGTGGCTGGCACTAAGAAATTCAAATGTTGATGTAAGTCTTCCTCATGTAGTTATTAAGAAGATTAGGTTTGCACGGCGACTAAATTCCACATGCCCATGACTCGGTAATTACGCCCTTGAATATTAGATACGGTCATCTTGAGGAAACAGAAAATATAAACTCGTGGAGAGTGGGGAATAGCCACTACGAGACAACAGGTAATAAATTGTTTGACATCTAATTAATGTATGGCATCTGAAGGTGGCACCAATGCATGTCGAATGATGTAAAAATGAAACACGTGTAACTCGGAAATTGTAAATTGTTGAAGACATTTGTGAAAGTGCGAACGGCCAGGAATTCTATTTTCATTTCGAATGAACGACACACATTTCGAATAGGATGCCTCAACCAAGGGTAAATGAGTCCTCCACATATATTTGTTCTGTGTCACCAGATCTAGTAATCTAATCTAGTCCAGGCACTTGTTAATTCCCACAATTTTTCTGATATGAATGACATAATTGTTTTAGTTTGAGTTTTTCATTTTGAAGGGGAAAAATTAAAATAGGCTCATGAGATCAACATGCTGTCTGTGTATCCCCCTGTATTAACTTTTGAATCCCTGAACCAGTCTTTATGAAACTTGGTAAGTGTGTCATGACACCTGAGCCCATCTCAACGGCGTGCTTCATAAAAATCCCTCAACTCAGTCTGTATGTGTATCTCCCGTTTGTTGTTAGGCAACCGATCGGTAAAGAAAACGAGTTACAATGGCAACGAATACACACGCAACAATTAGAGAAATGTTGGACGCATCGTTTTCTATATGGTCCGTGTGGTGTCAAAGAAAAACAGATGAGTTCGCCCCAGAATTTTTTCGTTGCAGTTTATATCGAGTTGTGGAACTTAGGGACGTGGCGCCACGTCTGAATGTAGGAGTGTCCCATCGCAGAAGAATGTAAACTAATGTCACTTTCTGTTCTTTGTAGAGAAGTCTCAGGAAAGAAACCTCAGTGTAAAGCTTCCTACTCTGCGTTTATTTCTTATATTCATTTAATAAAATCTTTGTGCTTCTCTCGTAATTTCACTACTGGAACGAGGCAGTATCAAAGAACTATAGCAGTGATCATCTTGTAAGATTTGACGTTTTCACGGCTGTGACTATGAAGAATGCAGTCTTCTGAGATGTGGCGCCGTGTAGATCTTGTATGAGCCGACGTTTCGGAGGAACGTATAACCTCCATCTTCATTGTAAAAAGATCCGCGAGCGAGGAACGAGCATGAGCACATGTCTAGAAGACTGCTCACGCTAGTGCCTCGCTCGCAGATTCTTCTGTCCTGAAGATGGAGCCGATACGTTCCTCCGAAACTTCAATTCAAACAAGATCTACACGGCGCAACATCCAAGAAGACAGCATTCTTCAATAATCATCTTGCTCTCGAACCTCTTACGCATTTTTACTTTATAATCAGTCATTGATTACGAATTTCTTCTAAGAAAAGGTACAAAACGAAAAGTCGTCTCCCCGCTTAATTAATTGTGCACGACGCCATGAAGACGATTTTTGAACTCGGCAGTAGATAGAGATAAGTGATCAGCTTCACGTCCCGGCCACTTCACTCCCAGGGAAGGAGCCACGGTGAACCCGAGAGCTTGTTTTGGACGCTGTGGAATAGAGAAAAATTTCTTTGCCCTGCCAGTAATCGAACCCCGTCCGTCCAGTCCACAGCCCACCTGTATACTGACTGAGCTATCCTGGCTCTTGAATTTTTGTTTTCAAATATTTAAGAATTTGGTATCCAGCTCACAGTAAATAAAATGTATCTCCATTATATCTGTTGAGGACTATTTTACAACGCGACAAGTAGTTATAATAAGTGTACTGAAGAATGCTATTACATATAATTGGTGAACTGGAAATAGTTCGAGTGAAGACGGTCGTGGCATAATCGAGGAACGATCTCGGTATTTGCTTGGATGGACTGGGGAAAACCATATAAATTCTGAGTAAGAAGAACCGGGGATTCGAATTGAGCACCTTCCGAATACGGATCTTGAACTTTACCTCCTCGCCAACCCTATCGGTGCGTTTTCTTTATAAGGATCCATTGATTAATGATGTTTGTGAAAATAACTGGGGATTTATTTCGAAGGTCATACGAAACACATTCAGTGGACAAACCTCTGAAGTTTCAATATTAAAGAAGGTGGTAAATAACGTAACCACTGTGCTTTAAAGTGCTAAAATAAATTATGAGTCACTGTCTGCTCAAAAATAGTCATCACTTTTATTTGTAAAAGGTAAAAGAAAGTAAAGCTATCCCTGTAACAGGCCGTGGAGGCCCATAAGGCTGTGAGACGTCGAAGCTCCCATATTTTCTTTAGACATTCGGCCCACAGTTGGCAGTAAGGTTGTCAGCCATAAATGCTGGACGTTCTTTACCCCTAAGATTATTCCTGGTACTCTTTTCTGTTGGAGGCTGAGTCGAACCCAAGGCCATCTTGAGGCTGGAAGACTTAGGTAAATTGAAGAAATCCACCTTATCGGGATTTGAACCCGCGACCTTCCGGCTTGTAGCGTAATGCTTCAACCAACCACGCTACCGCGTACCCCCCATCACTTTTATTTGTGGGCTTTGAAACTGTCAGATTTCGCGGTTATAGGACGTTAAGATTCGAACCGCTTATGCCTCCAAGCAGAATGTGTAAGTATGAGTTTCTGATTGGTCAAGTGAACCTAAAACGTTAACTCCTACAAGCTATGAAGCATGTGATCAGATATGTTCATTTTCACACTAAAATTACAATTATAATCTTATTAATTAAGTAAAGACGTAAGTTTATCAGTATATGGCTCTACAGCCCTTTGTTGAGCCTTGGCTTTTTTTTTAAGTTTCTTAATCCTATACACAGTTGATAGGACTCTTGGACGGGGATCAGCCCATCGCAAGGCCGCTACCTACACACAGAACAACACAAAAACAGAATAAACGAGCCCAGACATCCATGCCTTGAGTGGGATTCGAACCCACGACGGCGCCGCCACTGTGATCAGCTAAAGACACAACAGTTTTTGGTTCAAGCTCACCAAACCAGGGCGCACTCACCAACAAACAGATCTCACTCACTACAGGTCACTCTGCAGAAGCTGCAGCCGTAGCCAGACTCCTGAACACTGACTGGCGATGGGAGACTGAAGGAGTCTGTTGCCTCATCTCTTCCGATGTATGAGAAACCCCTCCCAAAGGAGAGTGAAAGGATGCATTTCTTTCCATCCCATCCCCACTATTGTTCTTATGTCAAGTTCTCTCTGTTGCTCGCTACAGGTAACCCCTCTCTACAGAAGACGGAAGGAAAACTTGATGCCCTTTGACGTTCCCTCGCAGCCTCTTCTTCAACGACTCAGTTACGTGACGGTTTTGTAGGCCAGCGGATATACGAGCATTACGTTATTCTTATGCTAGAAACAAGACTGTCCATGACAATTCGTTTTATAGCGGAATAAAACTTCAGAGACTGCTACGGCATTTAAGCGACAAGGCACTGCTTATAAAGTCTTAGCCAACACGTACACGTGGGGCCTGATATCAATTACATTTTATCGTCCAAGAATGTCTTGAGTTTCCTTCCTCATGCTTAAAATTGTATGTATCTGTGTGTAATGTTGTCCTTATGCGCCATGATGTAGCGAGATATAGTTCCACTGCGTGGAGGTTACCAGTTCCATCCTCTTGGAAAGAGCTCCAGTAACAACTGCATAGGCCCAGAACCAGTGTGGGCGCTATGAACAGGAGAACATTTATTTCTGCTGCCACGTATCCTAACCCGACTCGGTTGTGCAGCTGCAGTATAGTTTCCATACCCACTGAGTTACTCCGACTTAATGTAATATGACATGTAGACCAGTTGTTAGGCAACGGCCGTTACTAGGAAGAGGCCCATAAACAGCAACAGAAAAAACGTTTTTTTTTTTCGTGCGATCCGTGCCGAGATGTTGCAAGCAGGACAGTTAGTGAGGAATGAGCCGAATGAGTGACTGAAAGAAAGTGAGAGCCAGCCGAGTCCACTCATTGGAGAGGGTCTGACCAGTACTAGTCAGACTCCTCTTCTCATTGAAGAGGAGGCCCCTTTTCAAAACACGCAAAAGTCGGGAAAGAACAAAAATATGGTCATGGGTCTCAAGGGGGCTGGAATCAAGAATGATTGTGTTGGCGAGGGCCAGCAGAATTTCACTGGATTGGAGCCAGTCAGTCTGTGGAGTGGAAGAGATGGTTGAATGAGTGGGTCGGGAACCCAGAGGAAGGGAAACGTTCGTCGTTGGAAGCGCTACCGAGCAACGGCTAGCGAAGACTCTATCAGTTTGAGAAGACCTAGCATGTCCTGTAGTGGTTTATGCAGTGTGTAGAACAGTGACAGCATTGTCCTTGCTTGTAGTGACGAGCTGCATAAGTGTGCAATAAAACCGGTTTATAGTCAATCACGTGACAATATATATACCTGTATGTGTGTATATATATATTTTTAGATGTCTTTAAAGTCTATACGAATTAAAAACCAATCAAATCCCGTTTTACTTTTTACACTGATAATTAATGGGGAGCCGAGAATGCCCCGTGAGAAAGCTATGGGATGGACGGTCGAGAATTCGGGGTTCAATCCACAAATTTAAGTCTACTCCCCTTCCCCCTCATTTCTCCCTTTCTGCGAAAAATTGGTTGTGCATATGGTTGCAGGCCTCTGAGGCTGTACGGTGACAGCATGAACCTAAGTATACTCCATCTACTGTGGGCATGAGGACGCGTCATTGTCAATTAGTGACGTAAGCCTGTACGCCAAAAACAAACAAACAAACAACAAACTCCGTGGCCTGTAAGTCCGCAAGCGAAGTATACCGACAGAGCGACCGCCGCTTGTCGGCGAAGTTAGTGCCAATTTTAAGAGGATAGAGGGTGTCACGTGGTCAGCGCAACGAATCCCCACGGCCGTTAATCTCGGTTTTCTAGACCGGAGCCTCCGTTTCTTGAAATAGCTCCTCAGTTATCTTCACGAGGCTGACCCACTACTTCTCAGAAAACATCTGCTAGAGCCGGGAATCGAACCCTGGACCTCTGGATCTGTAGCCAGGAACCCTGTCCACTAGACCACAGCGCCATCACTACAAAACTGCTAGGTTCCATTTTCAATAAACTTGCGGTATTCATACGTCGGTGGGATATTCAAACGTGCTTGCACGGGACTCCTGCCTACACAGTGTGTGGTGTAGAGTGGCTCTACTGCAAATATACTTTCGGGTGAAAATACTCCATTGAATTGTACTGACTTATGAAAACCGCACGCGGAGAGAACTGTGTCTCAACTATTTCTCGAAAAGTTTGCAAAACCACCTCGACTGGGTCCGGGGGTAGCGACCCACAATTTGAGAACCCGTGATGTTTGCTATATGTGCACACTTTAAATGTACACCTGTGCTTAGCAATGTATTCGTATTAGCGCTGTTCCATTTAAGCAATTCTTTGAGCTGAAATTTATGGCCGGCTCTTGCAAGTTTCTCAACTTTCCCACTCGGCAGCGCTGTGTATTGTAGTTCAACACATCATGGCGCACAGAATCACGTTTTGTTTTCGTATTGAGAATACTGTATATATATGTAGACTATGCGTGTGAAAGTGGTTTTTTAAGCAATAAGAAACCGTTGTAAAAACACAATCTCAGTCTTTCAGCTGTCATATTTCTCTGTAAAACAATATTGTCAATTGTATGGGTGACTTATAAGACGGGGTTTGGATTGTATGGTTAGATTTATTGGGCACTCTTTGCACAATCACTCGTAATCACAATACACCTTCAGCAGAACCCTTCTTCCATGACTGCCTAGGACTCACTCTCTGCTACTGGCTGAAATGGATTTCAGGATTCTGAGTCTTATGTTACGGCCTACGGCCAGTCTGTCTTGGAATAAAGCACCAATTTGGAGCTTACAGCCAGATTTTTATTACTGTCAGACAGTTGCGGGTTTGTTGATGTGGGGCGCTCTCTCTGACGAGAGGATGGGCCTGTCGTTTGCTGCTTGTCCTCGCCAACGCACTCATTCTCGGGTCCGAGTCTCGCCTCGGGGCGGACACCATAGAAAACACTTCCATTGCCTAGCAATGGACGCCTACTGTTGTCGCGTATTATTGTAGGCTTTACGTAACCCAGAATCGGTCTTCGGTAGAAGGTGTTTATCGACCGTTGCCTATCAGTGGGTCTCTATGTCACAATATTGAAATTATGCTGTATGTGACTGTGGCAACAGAGTGCGACGTTAAAGCCCGGCACGCTCCTGTTAATGGTAGTATTGACTTCACCGGTAGGTGTAGTTGCCGACAATAGGCCCTGTCACTGTCATCAGTTTCGTGAAATGTTCTTATTCAAGTTGTGTTCTATGTTTTGTCAGTAATGGACGTCCATGTTAGAACCTGAGCCCACATCAATTAAGCTAAGAAGACACAACTTTCCTCATTACTTTTCGTGTCTCGGTACAAGGCAGCCGAACCCTGCCAGGGCCGTTATTATTGGACGAGTCAGTGGGCCAGCACACCACGGGAGCAGGGTTCGTGACCGTTGGCCCCTCTCTCTGTCTCTCTTTCTCTCTCTCACTGTGGGAAAGACGTCGTTAGATTTCAAGAGCAAAATATCAGTTTTACACCTTCTTACTTTCCTTAATATGATCACAATTTGTTTACCCCTTCTCTTTTGTTCTCGTGACTATATCCCCTGTAACTTACATAGCCAAACTTATTCCTGAAAGACACATTTAAACCATGAAGATGGAGGCAGAATGCTCTTCCGAAACATCTGAATCTGCCCACAATACCTTAATCTTAATAATAACTACCATAAATTGGTAAAGTTGCCCTTGTGCTCAACAGATTAAGCACTATGCCATGAAGGCGTATGGGGGAGTGGATGTTTAGATCCACATTTTCGTGACCTCGGCAATAGCTGGAGGTGAGTGGTCAGCTTCACGCCCCGGCCGCTTTACCCCCGGGGAAAGAGCCCCGGGTATCCATTGGATAGGGGATTGGGTGGACCCCACTCAGCATTTCGTCCACGGTGAAGGCCGTGAGAACCTCCAATCCAGCAATGTGCTTAGGCTACTTCAGAGCTACTCTTTCTTGTGCAGCCCTCTTCTGACTTGGTGTCAGACTGAGCTGTCATTTCTCTGTAAATGTGTAGCTCATCAGTGTTTCTCGTTAGACACGTACTGTTATTTTTTGGACAGCCGCAATTAAATTTAGCGACTTAAGTGTCTCTTACTTCTACGATTCATTATACATTTTTGATACATTTTAAACGTGCCTATCAACAAGTACGTATAACCGACTTTAAAAATACTGTTGCATGTATACCCGTTACTGGGCAACGATCGCGAGATAAGCAACTATGCAACAGCCGTTACTGAATAACGGCTTTGCACACAAGCATGTTTCCACAGCAACAACTGGAAACAACAGAGGATCGAGATTTTCTGGGCGGTCTGTGCCGAGATGTTATAAGCGGTTAGTTGAATTGAATTAGTTGAGAGTCGGTAGTTGGAGCAGTGAGTTTGTTGTGAGACATTCGCCAGCCGGTAAGAACGTGAGCGCGGAAGAAGAGGATATTGTTGGGATCTGTCACCAGGAAACGACTGGTGAAGACATAGCAAATTGAGAAGGCTTTATGTGTGCTGTGGTTAGAGTGATCTTTGGAGTGTGTAACTCAGTGAGACTGTCGTAGTTATTTGTAGTTACGTTCTGTAAGTGTCCAATAAATTCAATTACCAATCCAACCCCCCCCCCCCATCGTATATAGTCACTCATACACGTAATAATATTAAAGTTGTATCTGCTCTTTCGAGCTTCACTTGGTCTGAGAAGGCCGTAACGACTAAGCTTATAGAATCTCTACAAACTAAATGAACATTCATGCGTTCCTCTGCTTCTTACACTTCAGTCTTCAGGTCTGACTTATTCCTATCAAGGCCAGTTACTGGCTCCTACTGCTTTTCTACTTCGTAATATTTCAACCCTTCCACTAACGACAAATAAAGTTATTGGCCTAAAATATTTAATAAAATCTGTATGATAGCAGTAGCGTAGTTCTTGCTGCAAGCTGGAAGGTCGTGGGTTCGATTACCGATGAGGTCATTGAATTTTTAATTGGTCTAATCCGTATGTCCCTGGGGTCGACTCAGCATCTATCAGAAATGATTACCAGGAATCTTCGAGGGGGGTAAAGAGCGGCCGGCGCTTAAGGCCGGCAACCTCACCGCCATC